GCCCCGGCCGGGGGTCTTTTTCTTTTTTTTTTTTCCCCCCCCCCCACTTTGGCGGTTCGGGCAGCGTCAGTCCGAGTGGTTTTGTTTTTTGCTTGGGGCAGCAAACATGGTAGAGCCGGCCCTGATTGCGTTATGGCCTATCCGAGATCAATCACACGCTGCTGGCTCTCCGCTGCCACACTCCTTTGGTTGTACGTGGGCTCCCTCTGCTGGCTATCGGCCCTCAGTGCAGGCTAAGCTGTGTGCCGGCCGGCTTGATATCCATCAATCTGTCTGCCTGTTTCCAGGGCACTGCTCTGTTTGAACAGTTCTGGCAGTAATTGCACAACCCCTGTCTGCCATTCTCTCTTTATTTCCCTACTTCCCCTTCTCTAGCTGGCTGCTTCCTGCTGTTCCAGACAGCCTGTACCTCTAGGTGATGTGAATCCCCTTTTTGTAGCATTATTTGCTGCTTACTTGTTCATCTTCTTGGTCAGGCAGTGGGCGCACTGGACACTCGTGCGATAGGATGGCCAGGTGCCCTGTCCAGTGGAAAAGACCCCCAGTGTCCGGTCAGATCTACTGATCAGACCCCCAATGTCCGGTTACTGCCCCCCAACCCAGGCTGCTGCCATTTCAGCTAAGGGGGAATTTCCCCCTGCTGCAGCCGTGCACGGGCTGATCCCATGTCAACATAGTGACAAAGGCTGGAGGGGCTCTGACATTCTATGCGGCCCGGCCACCTTGATTGGAACCCCTCTGCTCCCATTGAAACGCACGTTCCTCAGCTGCTAATGAAGAAGTGCGCTGTAGGGGCCGCGGGCTAGCCCTTCTGAAGGCCTGATTGAAGTGAATGCTTGAAACGATTCCTCCCAGACCCCAGTGCATGTCTGTCCATCTCTCAGCTTTGCCACACAAATCTCCACATTGTACCTCTTTACTCAAGAGAGGCTAAGAACTGGGATAGCCGGGGGGCTGCAGGTCAGGAGTGAGGGGCATGGGCAGGGCTGTGTGGGGAGCCCAGGGCTGGGACAATAGGGGGGCTGCAGGTCAGGATTGAGGGGCACCAGCATCCCAGCTGGAAACAGTCGGAGGGCCAGACAGGCTGCGGGGCAGGGAGCCCACCAGGACTGTGGAAGCAGGCGCTGGAGGTTAAAACAAGCCCACCGACGACTTCCATTTAGTTTTGCTGTGAGCGCTGCTGTTTGCTAGACAGAGGCAGCAGCCGCCCTGCATAATGCCAGATGAGCTCATCTGGGCTGAACAATGAGGCGCCCGTGCGTCTGGAAGGGCTGCTGCGATTTGCCTGCACAGCCCTCCCCAGGTGGGGAAACCTCCAGCCTCCCCAGGGCTGGTTCAGCTTTTAAAAGCTCGATGCATTTCTTGGCCCTCCAGCTTAGGGTTACCATACATCCTCTTTTTCCCGGACATGTCCGGCTTTTCAGCAGTCAAACCCCCGTCCGGGGGGAATTGCCAAAAAGCCGAACATGTCGGGAAAATGGCGGCTCTGCTCCTCCCCGACTCTTCGGCTCTGTTTAAGAGCCGGGCTGCCCGAGCGCTACCGGCTTTGGGCAGCCCCCGTGCCTCCGGACCCTGCGCCCCCCGGGCCGAGGAGCCGGGGGCCCGGAGGGGGAGGGCCCCGG